GGGGGGGGGGCAGTGAGAAAGCAAGCATCCGTGTCCAGGACTCGAACTGCAGTTGGTCATGTGGGAGTCCAACACCCTTAACCACCATGCCACCTGCCAGCCCCAAAGGTGTTTATTCTCTTTACCAGAATTTTATAAGGGACAGAAGTTAGAACAGTTGATGTTTTAGCCAACCTTGGCATAGTCATAGCATGTCTTCTTACCAGTTATATCTAAATTAGAGACATAAAAGTGGGTTCTTGGGTGTTTAAATTGGGAGAAAAGCATGTTCAATTGTAGAATTTGTGCTAATGAAATGTAAATGGTGATAGTATCAAATATCACTTTAAGTGACATTTAACACCATAGAAAAAATGAATGTTAGAATTACTACTGTGTTTCTGATCATGACAACTTTAATGAAATTACTGCATCTGTACTGAATGGTGGCAACTATCGTTACGTATTTTCCAATTCCTTGAGAACCTCTGTGGTTGTTAGGATGTTGTCATGGTTACATTCTATGTAGGAATAGGAGAAGGGAGCTATGGAAGTGGTAGCTCAGAATGCCCAGGCTTGGAGTTGTGCTATCCAGGAAGTCTAAATGTGCTGAAGCCACACTTGACATGGACCAGAAGACTCTGAATAAACTGGTGGAATCCATCAGTAAGACTGTTAAGAGCTGTAAGTACTGCCCATTCATACTTCCAGCAATGCTAAAACATCTTGATTCAGTCAAATAGAAACATTGGTAGACATACTAGTTGGACATTAATCAATACTTTGTAACCCTAAAATGTTTTCTACCTTATATATTGGCCACTTTAAAAATAGGTAAGCAAGTGAATAATTACACCTGTATATGTTATATATATTCTCATCACCATGTGTCCTACAATGTATTTGGCTATGTGGTATAAAAGCTCGAGAATGTATATGACATCCCAAATCAAATCCTGAAGGGTTATCAGCCAATGAAGGACTGGTTTTATTACAGTTTGAAATATAAATTTACTAAGAATTTTTTAATTTAAAAAATTTTAAAAAACATTTATTCAGCATCATGATCAGACTATTTTAGCAATCAAACAGCATGGGTGCAAAAAAATAAAACTACATTAAACCCCTTTGTTGGAATGCTTTATACTTTCCACAGGACAGAAACTAAAATAACCTGTTACACAGTTACTCACAAATACAGTCCTCGTATTTTTTGCCCATACACGCATTGTCTAAAACATGTCTTTGTATCAGGTAGGCCCTGCCACTACTGTGCTTTGCTGAGTTCACAAACCTGTATCTTCCCTGTCACTTCTCTGGCTCTCCTCTCCTGCTAATCTTTGTTTCCTGACAATTAATTAAAACTTTATGCTGCTGCCATAGCTACGACTGCTGCTGGAACCGCCATAGCCACCTTGATTTCGTGGTTTGGCAAAGTATTGGCCTCCACCTCTATAAGGGCCAGAGCTTCTGCCTCCAAAGTTTCTACCCTTCCTGGGTCCAAAATTTGAAGACTAATTACTATAATTGCCAAAATCATTGTAGTTTCCACCACCTCCAAGATTGCTTCCAGAACTACCACCCAAAGCTGCCTCTGACTCCTCCATTGTTATACCTGTCACAGCTACCACTCCCTCCATAGCCACTGCCCTGGTTTCCATAACTCTGTCCACCACTTCCATAGCCTCTGCTTCCACCAGGGTAACCAAGGCTGCCTCCTCCGTAACCACCATCATACCAAATCCATTATAGCCATCCCCACTTCCACTGTATCCACCACCACTACAGCTGCCACCAAAGCCACCAAGACCACTCAAGTTTCCTCCACGACCAAAGTTGTCATTACTACCAAAGCCACCACCAAAATTTCCAGAACCGCTTTGACTTCTTGGGCTGGAGGAAGCACTAGCCATCTCTTGTTTGGACAGGGCTTTCCTTATCCACAGTGTGGTATTTCTGAATGGCAGTCGTATCTGCAGAGTCATGATCATCAAAAGGTTTGGGACACACAGATAAACTGCGCCCATCATGTTTCTCAAGCTGCCAGGTGTGGGACTCGTACCACACAGTTGACCTTATGGGATCCAGCTGCTTTCACCACCACTAGCTAATTTCATCCTAATGGAATTATTTTTAGCAATTCCTGCTACTGTATGTATTTCATATCTAGTTATTTCAAAGCAATTCCCTGAAATATTCTGTAGGTGTGACTAGTAGTCCTTGATCAGAAAGAACCATGTCTTGTATAGTCTTCTACAAAGAAGATGCTTATTATTTGTAAAAAGAAAGAAAAGGAGTTGCATCCTTTTCTTTTTCCAAACTTTTGACACTTTTTTTTCAGTAGGGGTTTTTGCTGTAGGATGTGTGTGCTCACCGGAAAGGGAGAAATCACCCCCCAGGAGGATGGCCACACTACAATCCCTTCTCCATTTTCCTCTCTGGATCTTGGGCACGCATGCACATGCACTCAGCGTGAGTTTCAAGCCACTGGGTCCAGGACTCGAACCATGTTCAACCATGTGAGAGTCTAACAACTTAACTGCTAAGCCATCTGCTGGCCCCCTTCAATGCTAAAGATAAAAGATTCAGACCCTGGGGCCAGACTGTGGCACAGTACTCAAACATGAGCTCTGCAAGGCGGTACCACATGGGAACATTGCCAGTTCAAGTTGGGAGACCTCTCTAGACAGACTTGCCCATAGCCCAGGGCTGGCTGAAGGCCAAGGGTAGAACATAGCATCAAGACCTGTTGAGGGTGCTATCACGAATGCTCTCTCATTCATGGAAGAAATAACCAAACCTTAAAAAAAAGTTCAGGCCCTGAATGCTTAAGCATAGCTATTTATGTCAAGTCCTATGTAAGTGTAGACAGATAACCATTTCACAGTTTGAATACAGACAACTACTTTTTTTAAGAGATTTTTGTGATAGGGCACGTGCAGTTGCTGGAGAGACAGACAGAAAGTAAAAAATCACCCCCCAGGGGGTATGACCATGCCACGGTCCCTTCTCCATTCTCAGGATTTGGGGCATGCACGCACACACCTGTTGCGAGTTTGAAGCCCCTGGATCCGGCACTTGAACTGTCAACTACATGGAAGTCTAGTGACAACCATTATGCCATCTGCTGGTTCCACAAACAACTGATTTTTATCAAGCTCTTTGTTGGTGAGCCACTGCTGAATGGTTTATATTTATTATCTTCAAATACAACAAACCCTGTAAGGTAGGTGATATTTTCCCAGTTTTCAGAGGAGGAAACCAAGTCTCAGATTAAGTCTTGTCTAAAGTTGCACAGCCAGTGACTTTTCTGGTGGAGGCAGTTTGTACCCAGGTGGTTTGATGCTAGCCTGCACTAAAATATTACCGATTCATCAAAATCCTGTCGGTGGGCATCACAGACAGCCCCCATGGCCTTTCTGCAGAGTGCTCTGACACAGAGTGTATAATGAATGTTTATTGAATTGAGCTCAGTTCTTGGATCCTTTCCATTGAGACCAAGATACTCACCGTTCTTCCTCATGACTGGGTTCTGGCTCTTAAAATGTAGGGGGAAAGTTAACAGCTAGTGCTGCCTTAGCCTTCTTGAGAAGGGGCCGTCTTTATTATTTCTCTTTGTGTAGGAAGTTTTAGTTGTCCCATGGGAAAGAAGTTGAAATTTTTCCTGAGCATGGCTTCAGAACTTAGGAGGGAACTTCCATAATGTACTAAGCCTCATGGCCTAGGTGCCTTCTAGTCCAAATAACCAATACATGACTCTCATACTTAGAAAGCTGGTTACTTTCAGGAACCTCACAAAGGAAATTCATTACCTATGAAGCAAGGCAACCATTTATTTTCAGATAGGTTTCCATTTATTTTCAGAAAGGTCCCAAATGCTTTATATTCTAGCTCTAGTATAAGGGGGTCTTTGAAAAATTCATGGCAAGTGCCTAATTACGCAAAAACTATGACTTGATTTCAAAATATTTTTCCACTGAAATAAACTTGTGGGCAGGTTCCATGACACACTGTGATACGCTGCTCAAAAGCAGCCACATTGTGCACGGCAACTACGGTTCACACTTCCAGCCTGGCCAGTCTGAAACACACCGGATGTGCACACAAGTGAGCAAGATGCAATGGGCTTGCAGACTGAAGGAAAAGGATTGTGGCACGATCAGACCCTGTGAAGGGCGTTCCTCCCTCTTTTATGTGCGTGCACACACACTGTCATAAATAAATTTAAATTCATACTTTAATTCCATTTTTCCATGAGTTTTTTGAAGTCGTATAATTTGTATCTTAATCTTCCTACTGCTCTCTACAGCTGCTTTTTTCAGTATGATAGCCACTGGCTACATGTAGCTATTTAAAATGTAAATTTATTTTTTTTTATTTTTTTTTCTATAGAGCACATGCACTCGCTGGAGAGACAGAGACAGACAGTAAGAAATCAGCCCAAGGAAAGACTGAAAGCTATCAGATTGGAAGAGTCACTACAATCAAATGTGATATTCTGGATTGCATCCTGGAACTGAAGTGGGAATGAGGGGAGATATTAGTGGAAAACCTGCTGAAATCCTTTAGTCTATAATTTAGTTAATAGTAACATGCTAGGACCAGCACTTAGTGTAATGGCCATGTCGCTGGACTCCCATGTAATCGACTGTGGTGAGTTCAGGACCCAGTGGCTTACACTCACGCTGGGCGCGTGTGCGTGTGTGTCCAAGATCCCAAGAGGAGAATGGAGACGGGATTGTGGCATGGCTATCCCCCCGGGGGGTGATTTCTTGCTTTCTGTCTCTGTCTGTCTCTTTCTGGTGAGCGCACACACCCTATAGCAAAAACCTCTCCAAAAAAAAAAATATATATATA